TCTCCCTTCCTCTTTGTAAAAAATCAATAAAATATATATTTTTTTTAAATAAAGAAAAATACCACGTGATCTCACTTATTTGTTGATAATAAAGAACATTATAAACTGTTGAACAAAAATAGATAGAGGCAAAGAAGCATCGAACAGACTGTCAAACTACAGGGAGCAGGTGGGAGGGGGGTAAGAGATCAACCAAAGGACTTGTATGGGTGCATATAAGCACAACCAACAGACATAAGACACTGGGTGTGGGGAGGCCTGGGGGAGGTCAATAGGGGGATAAAAGGAGACATATGTACTACTATTTGTAATACCTTAGACAATTAAATACACACACACACACACACACACACACACTTTTAAAAAAAAAATGATGCAGCATTTTGGGAACTAACTCAAAGAGGGGTTTCATCATGCTTATTGTCCACAGAGCTCTGGAGGTTGGTTAAAAGTGCCCATTGGGCCAAAGCCGGTTTGGCTCAGTGGTAGAGCGTTGGTCTACGGACTGAAAGGTCCCAGGTTCGATTCCAGTCAAGGGCATGTACATTGGTTGCAGGCACATCCCCAGTAGGGGGTGTGCAAGAGGCAGCTGATAGATGGCTCTCTCTCATTGATGTTTCTAACTCTCTATCTCTCTCCCTTCCTCTCTGTAAAAAATCAATAAAATATATTTTAAAAAAATAAATAAATAAAAATGAAATAAAAGTGCCCATTGGCCAATCTTCCAAAATAGTCCCTTTTCCCCTTCGTGGGCACAAAATACCGAGATGTGTTTGTGTCCCCTGGGCCAGTGCTTCTCTCTCCCCAGTCTTTCCAGTATATGTTTTTGATATTTTGTTCAGCTTTTTCTAGTTGACCTCAGCAGTTGGCCCCAGTTACAGTCCATTAGTACTCAAAGTGTAAGTCCACTATTTCATTCTATGTCAGATATATTATACACTAGAGGCCCAGTGCATGAAAATTCATGTACTCGAGGGGGGTCCCTCAGCCTGGCCTGCCCCCTCTCACAGTCCAGGAGCCCTCAGGGGCGGGGGGTGACCCCATCACACCTCTGCTGCTGCCACTGCTGGCAGCGCCAGCCTCGGCCGGCCCTGGTTACTAGGTGGCTGGGCAGCTGACAGCCAAGAGTTGCCTGTGCCTTGGGCTGGCCCTGGGCGGCTGGGGGCCTGAAGGGATTGGGGGACTCAGGAGGCAGGCGTGCCAGTGGGGCTCAGGGCCTGAACGTCGCCATCTTGTGGCTGTGGATGCTGTCATCTTTGAAGGCAGGGCATTCAATTAGCATATTCCCTCCTTCTTTGCAGTGGGAGCCACCATCTTTGTGACAGCATGTGGGTTAATAAGCATATTCCCTCTTTATTAGATAGGATATTTATAGTTTTGTCCAACCCATGAGTGAAAAATATTTCAGTTACTAGAGGCCTGGTGCACAAAATTCATGCATGGGTGAGGGGGTTGTCCCTCAGCCCAGCCTGCACCCTCTCCAATCTGGGACATCCCTCTCACAATCCAGGACTGCTGGCTCCCAACTGCTCATCTGCCTGCCTTCCTGATTGCCCCTAACCACTTCTGCTGCCAGCCTGATCACCCCCTAACCACTCCCATGCCAGCCTGATTGATGTCTAACTGCTCCCCTGCCAGCCTGTTTGCCCTCAACTTCCCTCCTCTGCCAGCCTGGTCACCCCTATCTGTCCTTCCCTGCAGGGATGATTGCCTCCAACTGCCCTCCCTTGTAGGCCTGGAGCCTCCCAACTGCCCTCCCTGCTGGCCATCTTGTGATGTCCATCTTGTGTCCACATGGGGGAGGATCTTTGACCACATGGGGGCAACCATATTGTGTGTTGGAGTGATGGTCAATCTGCATATTACTCTTTATTAGATAGGATAGAGGCCTGGTGCATAGGTGGGGGCTGGCTGGTTTGTTTTGAAGGGTGTCCCGGATCAGGGTGGGGGTTCCCTTGGGTGTGGGTCAGCGTAGGCGAGGGGCCTATGGTGGTTTGCAGGCCGGCCACGCTCCCTGGCGACCCTAGTGGAGGCCCTTGTATCTGTAATTTATTTACCTTCTACAATTGAAACTTTGTAGCCTGGAGTGGAGTCAAGCTTCCTGCTGGTTGTGTGGCTGTGGCCATTTCTGTTTGAATTTATTTACCTTCTATAAATGAAACTTTGTATCTTTGAGTGGAGGCCTAGGCTGGCCACAGTGTGTGGAAAGCTTAGCTTCTGTTGCCGGGAAACCCAAGCCTCTCTCAACTGCTCTTTAGCCGCAGCCATCTTTGCTGGAGTTAATTTGCATACTCACTCTGATTGGCTGGTGGGCATGGCTTGATCGGAGTGATGGCTAATTTGCATATTACTCTTTTATAAGGTACGATGATTTGCATTTCCTTGATTATTAATGGGGTTTAGCAAGTTTTCAGGTATTTTTTTTGGGGGGGTGCTATATTTCTTTTTCAATTTATTTGGTCCCTATCTTTTTGGGGTTCTTTTTCTATATTGAACTAGCACTTTTTATATTCTTGATATTGATCACCTGTTTATGTTGCAAATATTTTCTCCCATTCTTTCATGGGTCTTTTACATTCATTATGACTAGATCATATAAAATATTTTAATTTTTAGGTATTACAATCTTTGAGTCTTTTGTGGCTTCTGGGTTTTATGTCTTTAAGATCAGGAGATGCTAAATATTTTATACTTTGTTTTTTATACGTATCTCTTAGGAAGACGTTGGACGGCATTTGTCATGTACTTTGTGAAACACCCAGTTCTTAGCGAACTGAATAGTGCCAGAAGGAGCTTCTTTCCCTCCTGCTGGTAAAGCAGGTTTCCGCAGGCCGGGCCAGCCTGAGTGCCCACAGCTGGCCTCGCCCTCCTCCCCGCAGCCTGGCCTGGGCAGGTAGGCCGGGAGGCTTCCTCAGGGAGGGTCCTCTGGGCGAGGGACAGAGGGTCACCACAAACCAGCCTGTGAGAACAAGGAAGGCCCACTTCATTTTTTGTAAAGTGAGAGCTATTCAGACTAAACACTCAAATGATTTAGGAATGTCCAAAAGGGAAGGAATGTCCCAAAGTCCGCCTGGAGGCAACCTCTCTGGGATCTGTGTCTGTAACACATGTGAGCACACGCGGCTTTACAAGTCAGGCCCTGCAAACCTCCCTGCCTGTTGTCTGGTGGCAGCCCTGCCGTGCGCACACAGCCACGTGCCTCAGCCCGCGTGGAGCTCAAGCTTCAGAGCCCAGGCCCTGGTGTGGTCTGGCCCTGTCGTGGCCTCGTCGGGTCTCCTGTCTGCATCCACCCAGGACCCGAGCCTGCCTCAGGTGGGGCTGGCGGGTGAGCAGTTTGGAGATCTGTCTGCACAGCCTGCCGGGAGAGGACCCCAGGCGTGTCCTGCTGCCACACTGACCGAGGGGGGCGCTGCGCTCCTCGGAGGGAGTGTCAGTGTGGCCGGCACCGCAAGAGCGGAGGCAGCCTGCCCTCCCAGGAGTCAGGGCCCACACGCTGCTGGCAGGAGGCGGGGCAGGGTGCTTGGCCTGCAGCTTCCTTTTCTTTCTGGTCACTCTTTTTTAAAAACATTTTATTGTTTACGATATTACGAAGAATAGTACATATGTCTCTTTTTCTTCCCCTCCCACTGACATCTCTCCCCTCCCCTACTCCCCCAGTGTCTGTGTCCATTGGTTGTGCTTATATGCATGCACAACCTACAAATCTCTTACTCTCCTCCCCCGACCCCCCCAAATCCGTTCCCCTCAAGGCAATGGGGCGACCGAGCCTGGTCCCTCTTGTGCTGTGGCTCTCCGTGGTGTTTGCATACTTTGCTTCTGCAGTTGCCTCCGAAGAGGTCTTTCTACTGATTTCCAGTAGATGGCGCCGCATCGCTAGATTTTTCACCTCTGTAGTCCCAGACGTGAACCTCCAAGGCTTACAGGCTTACCTAAGATAGTACAGCTGTGCTGCTTGGGGGTAGGGTTTGTGTTGCCCTCACTTAATGACAACCCCTGACCTCGGTGGGGCCCATGCCAAGCACCCCTCTTGGGAGTCAGTCACAGTGGAAACCAGTTCTACTGCAGCAGCTCTTTGCTCCACGCCAAGGGCCAGGGGGGCGAGTTTTGGGAGTCCAAGCGCGGCGGCAGGGCTGTGGTTCTGTTTCTTTGTCTGGAACACCACTGCTGGCCCCGCAGTGGGGCGCAGGGCAGAAGCCTTGCTCTGTCAGGCGTCTGCTGGCCCCGTCACTGTGTGTGTCCTCGCCACGCGCCCTGCTGGGCTTCCTCCCTCCCGGCGCCACCCGGGCTGCTCCCGGGGCGTGTGGAGCAGGCTCTCCTTGCTGACCAGCAGCTGGGGAGCTTGTTGGAATTTCACAGGGAGAATAAGGGGCGCCCTCACGCCGCCACTCCTCCACCTCACCCCGCACGTCCTCACCCCTTCACCCCGCACGTCCTCACCCCCTCACCCCGCACGTCCTCACCCCTTCACCCCGCACGTCCTCACCCCTTCACCCCGCACGTCCTCACCCCCCTCACCCCGCACGTCCTCACCCCCTCACCCCGGACATCCTCACCCCGCACGTCCTCACCCCTTCACCCCGCGCGTCCTCACCCCCTCACCCCGCACATCCTCACCCCTTACCCCGCACGTCCTCACCCCCTCACCCCGCACGTCCTCAGCCCCTCACCGTGCACCTCCTCACCCCCTCACCCCGCACGTCCTCACCCCGCACGTCCTCACCCCCTCACCCCGGACATCCTCACCCCGCACGTCCTCACCCCTCACCCCGCACGTCCTCACCCCCTCACCCCGCACGTCCTCACCCCTCACCCTGCGCGTCCTCACCCCCTCACCCCGCACGTCCTCACCCCCTCACCCCGCACGTCCTCACCCCCTCACCCCGCACGTCCTCACCCCGCACGTCCTCACCCCCTCACCCCGCACGTCCTCACCCCCTCACCCCGCGCGTCCTCACCCCGCCTCCCGCAGGAGGGGTGCGAGCTGACCTCTTTGCCCGCAGGTGCAGCAGTACCGGGTGGCCATGACCGCGAAGGACTGCTCCATCATGATCGCGCTCTCGCCCTGTCTGCAGGACGCCAGGTGAGGCCCGGCCGCCTGACGCTCTGGCCTGGCGGGATTCTGTGGGTTGAGAAGAGTTGGTTTTCCCACACTTAGAGATAACAGAAGTTATAATTCGATATAGAAAGACATGGAGAATAATTTTAAAAGATGGTTCTATTAGCTGAAACCGGTTTGGCTCAGTGGATAGAGCGTCGGCCTGGGGACTGAAAGGTCCCGGGTTCGATTCCGGTCGGGGGCATGTACCTTGGTTGCGGGCACATCCCCAGTGGGGGGTGTGCAGGAGGCAGCTGGTCGATGGTTCTCTCTCATCGATGTTTCTAACTCACTCCCTTCCTCTTTGTAAAAAATCAATAAAATATATGTATTTTTAAAAAGATTGTTCTATTAAACTGCAGGTTATTATATTAGGTCTAGTAATAATTAATGTCGTTTTCTAATACTTTTTTAAAATCGAATTTACTTAAACAATACAACAAAATTTAATCAACAATATAGTTGCCATTGTTTTCTACTACTTGTGCCCAACACTCAGGAAGCATTTTAATCCCTCTGTTGTAAAATTCTTGTGATTTTGATGCAAAAAATTCAGTCAATGCATTTTTGAGGCATTCTTCATTATTAAATTTTTTTCCAAGAAGAAAGTTTTGCAAAGAACGAAACAAATGGTAATCGGAAGGGGCAATATCAGGAGAATATGCAGGTTGAGGGAGAACTTCCCATTCCAACTGGCACAGTTTTTCAGCAGTGATTCTTGCAGTATGCGGTCGTGCGTTATCGTGGTGAAGAATTACGCCCTTCCGATTAATCAGCGCGGGTTCTTTTTCTCTTAAAGCTTGGCCTAACCTTTCCAATTGGGCACTATACACTGCACTTGTAATGGTTTGGTTAGATGGTAAAAGTTCATAATGAAGAATTCCTTTAAAATTCCACCAAACACACAACATCACTTTTTTCGCATGCAAGTCAGGTTTTGGCGTGGGCTGCGGAGCCTCATTTTTGTCCAACCATTGAGGCCGCCTTTTCAAATTAACATACAGCACCCATTGTTCATCTCCGGAAACAATTTGCTCTAAAAACGGCAAACGGTTTTGACGAGAGAGGAGCGAACTGCAAATTGTGACTCTTAGATTACGGTTGTTGTCGGTCAACTCATGAGGAACCCATTTTCCAAACTTTTGGACTTTGCCAAGTGCACGCAATTGATTGGAAATTGTTTTTTGTGAACAATTTAAAGTTGTCGCAAGCTCTTGGGTAATTTGAGGATTTTGCACCAAAAGAGCTTGAAGAGCTTCTTGATCAAAATTGGACACACGGCCTCAACCACTCTTGTCATCTAACGAAAAATTTCCCTCGCGAAATTTCTCAAACCAACGCTAGCATTTTCTGGCGCTAACTGCATCTTGACCAAGAGCACTACAGATGTTTTTTGCAGCCTCACTTGCTTTTCTTCCTAATTGGAACTCGTAAAGCATGCAGTGCCGAATATGCTCTTCATCCGCCATCTTCTTAGCCCTAGTTTTGCAACAAAAACCAAACCAAACCAAACCAAACACAAACTTTTTCAAGCAAAACTTGTTAATTGCACTTCACATGTTCTGTAGATACCACGTTTTTGAAGGTTATGTCAATACAAGTCAACGCCAAGCAAGATTTTAAACGAATGTTTAAAAACGACATTAATTATTACTAGACCCGATACTACTTTCTCAGAAAATACTCTAAGGACGTAGAGGCAGCCTGAATACTGCGTGCAGACTCCTTTCTCTAAACAAGCCGGTGCTGCTGCCACGGCCGAGGCCTGAGAGCTGTTGCCCGGGGGTAGTCTGGCCTCCGTCCAGCGACCTGCACGCGAGCAGCTGCTTCCGTCTGTAGACCCCGTCGTCACCTGTGTCCTCCGGCCCCGTTTAGGAATTCGGGATCAGCCTTCTCTTAGTCACAGATGGCACCGCCCGGGAACACCCTCGTTCTGGCCCCTGGGTCCGGGCGCCTGGCACTGGCTGCCGCCGCCCGCTTTCTGCCTTTGACCTAACACCCCAGGAGGCACCGAGCTGTCCGTCTCCTGATCAGGAAACATGAGGGGCATTTCTAGGGTGAAACCCAAATACAGAAAAGGGGGTTCTTTTCGGCTGGAAACCACCATTCCCCAAAGAAGAGGCCGAGGGCTTAGCGATGAGGACTCATTGGCTGGATCGAGAGGAAACCAGAGAGCTCCGCTCTCGCCTGCCGGACGCAGGTGCACCGGGAACAGCAGTCACCTTCCCAAGAACTCACAGCAGGAGCCAGGTCACGTGTCCACAAAGTTCTGGAATGTGGGTGCCAGTCTCAGCTCAGGGCGGCCAGGGTTAGGTGTCAGGAGCCGGTAGACCTTCTGGCCGACAAAGGGTCCGAGTTTTCCCGAGGGGCCCTACTCCCATGCTCCCGGCGCTGGAGATGCTCCCTCATCTTGGTGCTGCTCAGAAGGGAGAGAGGGAGGTGTCCTTGAAATTGACTGAGCTCGGGATTGAGGCCCTGAGAGCAGACGGAAGCAGGCCCTCGCGTGCAGACGTGCTCCCTGCTGTTGGGGGTTGGGGAGTTGCTAAGAACCCCAGGTCGCTGTCCTGTCAGCTGGCTCTCGAGCAGGAATGAGTCCGAGTTCAGGCCCATCAGCACTGGTTGCACAGGAGCCTGCTCGCTGCTTCCTGCTCAGGCAGAGCCTTTGAAGTGGCTGTTTTGTTTGGATTGTTTTTTAAGATGCTACTTTTATTACTTTTCAGTATATAAATATGTATGTATTGATTTCAGAGAGGGAGAGAGAGAACATCAGTGATGAGAGAATCATTGGTTGCCGCCTGCATGCCCCCCACTGGGGATGGAGCCCGCGCCCAGGCCCTCCTGGCTCATAGGCTGAATGGTGGCAGGCGATTTCTAGCCAGTAGTTCGGCTGGGAGAGCAGGCTCCTGCCGACCCCCTCGGCCGCAGGAACGCGTCTCACGCCTCGCCAGTCACCTTGCTGCCCACTGCCCTGCGTGCTCCACAGCCCGAGCTCCAAGTGCAGACTTGGCTTCGGGGTCAAGTACAAGTCATTGTCCACAGAGTCCACAGCTGCGGACATTTAGAAAAACTAAGCACTAAGAGACAAAACACAAAAACCTGCAGATGGAGTGAGACTAAATGTGCAGGGGAGTGTCGGAGTCTGCTCCCAGCATGTTCTCATCCACTTGGCTGTTGAGTGGCCAGACCTCCTGCTCTCTTAGGTTTGGTCATAGTTGGCCCAGCCTTCGCTGCTGCCACTGGGATACAGGGATGTCACAAATATCCGAGTAGCTTGTCTTCCCTCTTCCTGCACAGTAACCCTTTCTTACCCCGCACGAGCGAGGCTCACAGCAGAAGCTCCGAGCGCTGTGCACACAGACAGACGGGTGGGTGCAGGCCAGATCGGGTGCTGTCTGTGAGCCAGGAGGGCTGCGAGCGCTGAAACTGCTTTTCTATTTTCAGCTCTGACCAGAGGCCTGTGGTCCCCGCATCACGATCCAGGTTTGCCTTCTCCGTGTCTGTGCTGGACCTTGACCTCAAGCCCTACGAGAGCATCCCGCACCAGTACAGACTGGACGGCAAGATTGCCAGCTACTACTCGAAGGCGGTGCGCGCCCACGACGCCGCCGCGGCCGCCCGGCTCAAGGAGAGGGAGAGCGAGGACTGCACGCTCGTCCTCCGCAAGGTCTGACTTCCCTGAGGGCCGGGCCGCGGGGCGAGGGCCGGCAGCGCTCCGGGCGGGGCTGGCTGTGACTCGTTGCTTCTAACCCCTGCTCGGCCGCTGCTGGGACGGCAGGAGGGCCTGGCGCCTCGGGCAGCTTCCTCCCTGCCCACACTCACGTCTAATCTCTTAACGCAAACACCGATCGCAGGGCCCGGAAGGCGGGGCTCCTGCCACCAGACTCCCAGCACACGGACACGGACTGTCGCGGCTCTTCCATTCGGCCTTCGAAGCTAACAGGGATCCTGCCGGGACTTCCCCAGCGGAGCGGCCAGCCAGCACAGGCCGTGGCTCCTGCAGGTCAGGGCCCAGCGCAGGCGCCACCAGTGTGTGCGGGAGCAGCAGGGCCACGGGAGGCGGGTCGGGCAGACTCCATCGTGCGAGCACCGACTCCTTTCCTTTCCTGAGTGGCGCCGCCCTGGCCTCTGCCCGGCCTCCCCGGGGCCCTGCAGCCGCCCGCGTGGTGCCCGGCGCCTCAGTGCGCCTGCGGGAGCGAGGGGCGGCCCCGCGGGCCCCCAGGCGCCAGGCTGCTGTGAACACGCGAGTCCTGATGGCAGGTTCACGCCATGTCAGTTGTACAGATTATTTATATCGTCGTTTTGAGGGATTAATAAAGGCTTATTGTAATATATTGTAATGTTGGTGAAACTGTGGAATTATATGAAAATGTGACATGAAAAATAAGGAGAATATTTTGCTGATTGTAAGTTTTTGTGGGGAAGTTTTGTGATAACTTGAAAATTACACTTGTTTGAATTACGCCAGTTTTTCTAGAATTTATTCTTTAATTCTGTCATAACAGTTATATCTTCTGTCCTCGGGTTTGGAGAGACTCGAGTGCTGGGCGTTCGTGGAGCTGGGGCTCGGGTGGGACAGGCCTGTGGGGGACACTTGCTGTCCCACTGCAGGCTGAAGGCAGACTCTGCTGTGGGTCCAGAGAGTGCGTGTGAGGCGGGGGGGGGGGGGGGGGGGGGGGGCATAGCTGCTCCTGGTGTGTCCGTCTTTGCGTTTTGTGTTTAAACAGCTGCATGTGCTTCTCATGTCCCCGCAGCTGATGGGCCACGTGTCGTAGCTGCAGACACGTGAAGGGTGCAGCCAGTTCTCTATTCAGGGGCCGCCGAGCGGGCTGCGGGCTCCTCCGCGCAGAGCAGCCGCAGCAGGCTATCCAGCGCCGCCTCGACGCCCAGCGCGCCCAGCAGGGCCCGGAAGCTGCGAGGGGCTGCTGCCACCGCTCCCTCCTGGTCCAGCTCCAGGGCTGCGGGAGAACACGCTGGTCAGACCCACGCTGAGACCCGCCCCTCCCCGCACTGTGCACGCAGCCCCCTGTGCTTTGGGAGTGATGGTGATCAGAATGTTTTAAGACACATAAAAAGTACTCTGAGCTTCCCACTTTGTTGCCACGTGAACCAGTGAAATGAGTGCACGTCCCTGTTGGCACCGCAGATCCCGCTGCTGCCTACCTCGCTGTGGCACCTGGGTGAGAAGATCCAGCTTCGGCAGGACCTGCCCTTCCTCATCTATGTGCATCTGCCAAACGATGACAAGTTCAAACCTGAAAGAGACAGAGCCGCCCCCGTGCCTTGAAGCAAGACTGTGCCGGGGCTGGAGGAGGGGGAGCCCGCCCCCCGCAGGGCCAGTCCTGGACAAGCTGGGCCATGGCCAGGAAGGCCTGGGCAGTGCTCGCTGTCACTAATACTAGGGTGACGGTACAAGTGAAGTACAGGACGTAGAGCAGCAGGAACTTACAATTTCCTGTGGGAAACAAGTTGATGAACTGCTTTGAAAAGAATCTGGTGTAACAGCCGAGGGTACGCTATGGCCCAAGGACTGCACGTCTGGGCACAGGCCCAGAGAAGCCGTGTCCTCCTGGCCCGGGACATGGATGGGTTAGACAGGGTAGAAAGCTCTAGAGACCTGGGAATGCATACATTTGCCCAGCAGAGTACAAGCTGAAATGGTCTACAGCCACAGGCACCACCAGAGTGAGGGATGGACACGTTTACTTCAGGGTGCGTCCCAGAAGCTGCAAAATTGTGACACCATTTTAAGGCTTGAAAACAAAGCCGAACCTCGGCAGGCACTCATGCCAGTCACCAGGCCCTCTCACCCTGGCAGATCCTCGCCCCCAGGCGCCCAGCATAGTGGAGGTCAGATGGTCGTCCCTCTCTCAGAGCTTGCTGACCCCTGGCCATCTCCCTTGGTCCCCTAAGGGCCCTGCAGTGCACACACTCCCTGTCCCAATCCCTCTTCACCCGGCCTGCCCCTCTTCGGCCGCCATCAGTGGGTGTGCACCTGTTAGGGCACTGTCAGGCAGCTTGCTTCGGTCCTCTACATTTGTAATCATCGTCTTCACCAGGAAATAACCATCTGGTTGCTGGGAAGGGACTTGGCGAGCAAGGGAGCCTGAGCCCACGGCTCTGCACTCACCCTGGCTGGCTGGTGCTCCGGATGTGCATGCAGCTGGAGGAGGCGCCCTCCGGGAGCCGCACAGCCGCTGGGTACTTCTCCTAGGGGAGAAGAAAAGTCACTGTTTTTAAATCACTTTTTACTTTCCATTACAGCTGCTACTAGTTTTCAGTGCACACCCAGTGATTAGACATCACATAACTAAGTGATCATCTCGATAAAGCACATAACCATTTGACACCACACACAATTACTACAATATTATTGACTCTATTCCCTGTGTGGACACTACTTCCAGGGACTATTCTGTAACTGCCATTTTGTACATCTCAATCCTTTCACCTTTTTCACGGACCTCAGCCCATCGCAACAAACTGTTCTCTGTATCTATCATTGTGTTTCTGTTCTGCTTGTTCATTTATTTTGTTGTGTGTTTAGATTCAATTGTTGATCGATATGTATTTATTGCCATTTTATTGTCCATATTTTTAAAATCAGTTTTTTTCTTCTTCAAGACCCTTTAACATTTTACACTATACTGGTTTGGTAGTGGTGAACTCCTTTAGCTTTTTCTTTTATAAAAGAATATGTATTTTATTTTTTACAGAGAGGAAGGGAGAGAGAAATATCAATCATCTGCCTCCTGCACACCCCCTACTGGGGATGTGCCCACAACCAAGGTACATGCCCTTGACCAGAATCGAACCTGGGACCCTTCAGTCGGTAGGCCAACGCTCTATCCACTAAGCCAAACCAATTAGGGCTAGATTTTTCTTGTATGTGAAGCTCTTTATCTGTTCTTTGATTCTAAATGACAGCTTTGCTGGGTAGAGTAATCTTGGTTGTAGGCCCTTGCTATTCATCACTTTGGATATTTCTTGCCACTCCCTCTGGCCTGTGGTTTCTGTTGAGAAATCAGCTGACAGTGTTATGGGAGTTCCCTTGTAGGTAACTAAATGCTTTCTTCTTGGTGCTTTTCAGATTCTCTTTAACTTTGGCCTTTAAATTCCGATGTGTCTTGGTGTGGGCCTCTTTGGGTTCACCTTGTTTGGGACTCCACTTCCTAGACTTGTAAGTCTATTTTCTTCACCAAGTAGGGGAAATTTTCTGTCATTATTTTTTGCAAATAGATTTTCAATTTCTTGCTCTCTCTCCTCTCCTTCCAGGACCCCCTTCAAGCAAATATTGGTATGCTTGAAGTTGTCTCAGAGGCTCCTTACACTATCTTCATGTTTTTGGACTTTTTCCTCCTTTTCCTCTTCTGATTGGGAGTTTTTTGCTTCCTCATATTCCAAATCACTGATTTCTCAGCTTTGTCTGCTTTACTATTGACTCCCTGTAAGTTATTCTTCATTTCAGTTAGTGCCGCCTTCATTTCTGTTTTGTTTGTGTGTTTTTTTTAAATACTGTTAAACTTGTAAGTTCATCGATCATCCTTATAAGCAGTGTTTTGAACTCTGTATCTAATAGGTTACTTGTCTTGCCTTTCTAGTTTTTCTCCTGGAGATTTGCTCTGTTGTATTTGGGACATGTTTCCTGTGTCCTCATTTGGCAGCCTCCCTGTGTTCGTTTCTATGTATTAGGTAGAGCTGCTTCCTCTCCCAGGCTTGGTAGCGACCTAATATAGCGTCCTGCAGCACAGGCTCCCCAATCGTCCAAGCTGGGCACTCCAGGTGCACCTGACCCTCCCTCCAACCCCATGGGCTGTGTACACCCTCCCGTTGTAGTCGTACCTGGATTGCTGTTGGCACATTAATGGCAGGGATTTACCCTTAGACCGATGGGCTGCAAGGACTGGCTGATACCAGTGACCACAGAACACAGGATCAGCTGTGCGGGGGCCCACCCCCAGAGCAGGACTTACTTCAGCAGGGCTCTGGTGCCCGCTGAGTCTGCCCCTTGAATGTGTTGCTTGTGGAGGTGGTTGAGCAGTGTTTCAATGTGGTCTGAAGCTGTCCACCGAGTGTGCTGGATCTGGGGCCTCCTAGGGCATCCAGGCCAAGCCTGTGTTCTGTCTGGGGCCATTTGGCATGAGCTAAAAAAGTGATCTACAGATGGCTGCTCCTTGTGCTTGGCTTGGATGTGCTCAGGAGAAGCCAAGCTGTGAACCAAAGCTGGCTGCTGCTAGTGCCAGGCCTGTGGCCACTTAGCGAGAAGTCCGTGGCATACTGAGATCAAATGCTGCTTTTTTGAGGGATTTTAGTTGAGTCTGAAGCCTGAGCCAGGACAGAGTTCATTGGTATGGAAGAGCCACGGCAAACAGCTTGTGTGGGCCTTAGGAAAACCTCCATGTAGAAGCGAACAGTGTGAGCCAGGCTGATGGAATTGACGGAATCTCAGACATGGCGCCCACCTGTTGGCTCTGTGGGAGGAGGGCTCAGAAAAGGAACTTGTGTCTGGAAGAAAACCGCCCCCCACCCCCCAGTTCCTTCCCTGACGCCGGACAATGTGGTGGCCCCTGTATGGCCCTGCTGCCCCCGCACCGGAGCTCAGAGGGAATGAGTCTGAGTAAGTCTGTGCCGGCCCTTTAAGAGGAGCTGCCTGGGTCTCCACAGCCTCCATGTCACTCAGCCAGAAGCCCTGCTGGTTTTTACAGCCCGAGTCACAGGGATCAATCTTCCCAGCGCTGGAACTCTGGGCTGAGGGGTCTGGTAAGGAGCTGGGACACCCTGTTCCTCAGGGGGACCTCCACAGCCAAGATACCCCTCCCTATTTTATCGGCCACACTTGGGTGTGGGACCAGCTCATTCTGCAGTGTCTCGCCCCCTCCTACTTGTCTAGGCTGCTCCTTTAAGTCCCTAATTGTAGGACTGCCATTCAGCCAGTTTTCAGAGGGTTCTGGATGACGGTGGTTCTGAGGTTTAGGAGCCCCCTTTGGGGTACAGGGATGCTGATCCAGGGGACTGGGAAGAAGTGAGACACCCCACTCCGAAAGCCTGAGTTTCTGACGCGCCAGCCCCCGTCCAGCACGCAGCACCCAGGTGCCCTGGCCACGGTGCCTGCTGCTGCCTTCTGAGCTCACTGGCACTGTGTTCGCCCGAGTCCTTCAGGCTGCCTCACCATCCACCCCCAACGTGGACATGTTACAGGAACTTCACTCCGATTCCTCCGGCCTCAGAGCAGAGGCAGCCTCTGCGTGTCCTGCTGAGGCCAGGCAGGCTGCCCGGGGATCTGACAGCCCCCGACTCCCCCGGCACCTCTGGCCCTGACAGTGTGGAGTGTTCCCTGCCGCTGCCTCCCTGTTAGGCAATGGGCTGGCGTCCACACAGTGGACCCCTCCCTGTCCACCCTCACACTGGCCGCCACCATGCCCGCCCGCCCGCAGAGCAGGGACCGTGGGTGCGGGGATGTGGCTGCAGGTGAGCGGCTTCCCATGGGGCTGTGCCCCGTTTCCGGTGGGAAGTGCTCTCCCTCAAACAGAGGTGGCAGGGGCCGCCCCACTTCCAGGCTCGCAGTCTCCTCACTTCCCAGCCTGGCAGTGCCTGCTGCCTGCCGTGCACCGCTGGCCCGGGCCGTCAGGACGGGGCGGACCAAGGAGGCAGCAGCTGTTGTGGAAGAGCAGCCTGTATCCCTGCTTCCTGTGACGGAATGAACACAGGCCCCTGCCACCTTCTGCGTGAGGCAGACTCCGGCCAGCAGCACACAGGGCTGTGCTGTCCCCGCCGAGGACAGCTGCCGTCGGTGTGGCGAGCAGGCCCTTTGGAGAGACGCCTCCTGGTGCAGAAACGGGCACCTGAGCCGTGCCCAGGCCCGGCCATGGGGCCACTCTGAGCCTCCTGGAGGGACAGGGAGGCACTTGGTTGAAAAGCCTGAGGACCCCAAGACAGGGGCAGGGGCAGGGCGGGGGGCGAGGATGGGGCCTCCTGAGGCCGGGGATTTGGGACAGGTCCTGTGGGGACAAAGATGGAGCTGCTCCAGCGAGGCCAGTGCTCCCAGCCCATGTGCAAAAGACGCTGACGAGCAGAACATGTGGGCAGAACATGTGCAAACACCACGCTGTCTGACCACACGCTGGGCGGGCCTGGCTCGCGTTACAGACAGTTCTAATCTCAGTGGACAGTTCCCCAGGAAAGTTTGTACTCGGTGATCTCAGTGGAAAGTGCTGGCTGCTCTTAAACCTCAGGCCCTCCAAGTGAACAACTCCGCCGGAGGATGCCGGGGAATGGGCGGGGGGGGGGGGGGCCAGCTCAGGCTGAGCCGGGGCCAGCGGGGTGGGCAGCGCAGGGGCTGCGGGCACGGCCTCACGCAGGCCCCCCGGTCTCGCCAGTCTCTCATGAGCAGAAGGAGGGTTTAGATGAGAAGCTTTCACTACAAGATAAATGGCGTTCCGTTTAGTTCCGTTTAAAACATCACAAAGGAAATGGATGTCCAGGATCTCCCGGCCGCAGCCTCCCTCGGGCCTGGTGGCCCCTGCGGTGTCGCGAGCGGGAGAGGAGGGCGGGCTGGGAGGGGAGACAGAAGCACAAATGCCTCCCCCCCGGCTGTTCTCACTCGCAGGACGGGTGCCTGATCCGAGAAAGGGCGAGGGCACTTGTCCAGGCAGAGGCCTGCTCAGCCCCAGCCCTTCCCCGGGGGCAGAGCTGCGGGCAGAGGGGCGCCCAGGGCCTGCGCGCGGGGTCAGGGGGCTGGGAGGTGGCTCTCCACCCCACCTACCCCGCCACCCGGCCCCACAGGCCCCGCCTGGCAGTGATTCAAAATGGGCGTTTACTTAGCTGCTTGCCACACGCCTGGGTTTGATCCACAAACTCTGGTGTTGAGGAGCCAGCAATGGGCCGAGGGGTGGCGCTTCTCACAGGATCAGTGTGGCCCCAGGTCCCACGTTCCCAGCTTCACTGGGCCCATCACTGCCCCGCCTGCCACCCTAGCCCTAGCCCTAAACCCCTAACCCCTAGCCCTAAACCCCTAACCCCTAGCCCTAAACCCTATCCCTAAACCCTACCCCTACCCCAACCTTTGTTAATTCATCACCCACCACCCTAGCCCTAGCCCTAGCCCTAAACCCTAACCCTAGCCCTAGCCCTAGCCCTCCTCCTCCCCCTTCCCCTCCCTTTAACAGCCCCTCCCTGGGCCCCGCTGGGAGCAGGCCTGCTGCCTGCGGACA